AAACCTAAAATAAGTATTATGGGGCTAAAATCAAGATCTCAGTAGGACTCCTTCTGAAGCCTACAGGAGAGACACTGTTTCCTGAGCTTCTGGTATTCCTTGTGGCCCCTTCCTCCATCTTCAAAACCAGCTGTTTAACAACTTCTTCTCTCACATGAACTTCTCTCCTGTATCAAATTTCCCAACGTCTCTGTTTTTTAAAGATATGTATGATTGCATTTAGAGCCCACCCAGATAATCTGGAGTAAGCCCCCATTTCAAAACCTTAATTTAACCAAGTCCCTTTTGCATACCAGGAAACATTCACAGGTTCTAGGTTATCTTGGGCATGGTTATCTTCAGATCAAATGTTGAATATGGTAAGAGCAAGATAGGAAAGGAGAGAAAAGAGGACAAGACACTGGAGTGTTCTGCAAAATTTCCCTTTAAAAAGTTTGTAAGAGTTTGGTGTTTCGTTTAGGAGAAACAAATTCGAAACAAAAACAAATAATCAAAATAAAATGTCATTGTTATTTTTAGGAGTCTTAAATGTTTATCTACGTTTGAAAGGGCAGACAACAATAGAAAATCCACTGTGGTCTTCAAGTGGGAATAAAGGACAACGATGGAACGAGGCTCATGTTAATATATATCCAATTACTTCATTTCAGGTAAGAAAATAGTAGCTGTTTCTGCTAATAGATTGCTATGTGTGAGCACACATTAAAGGTGGATTTGAGCAAATATTAAAATGTGAATATTCAAACATTCTGTGATATGAGCATCACAAAAATCATGATTAAGCTTTCTTTAGTTCTAAAAGCTATTTTATAAAGAGAAATACCCTTTTCTTTTAGTAATTAACACCTAACAAGTAATGTGTTTGAATAATTTTCTATCAAAATTCAAATGATTTGCCTGGAGAAAACATAATCCAGGCAAATTGCGATTCTATAAAATCACACGCTTGTATTTTATTCCCTGAAGAAAAACAATATAGGTTTTTGTAATAATGGAACTGGGTAATCAATTCTCAATTAACTTGTTTGAATTTTCCTTGATGGAATTTTTATATACTTTTAGCAAACTATGTTACTTTGAGGTAATGTCATATCAGTAATTTATCACTTTGATTATCAAAGTCAGATAACTTTAAATAAGTTATTTTTCTTTGTTTTTACATAGAAAAAGAAGTAAGGCTTAGCGAGTTAGCTGTAAAGATATCACAGAAATTTAATGACTATAACAGTGGCCATCATAGCTAGCGACATAGATGATGAAACTATTTCAATGGAGTTAATAATATACTTTCAGTGATTTTAATAACTACATTAAAGTTATGAAATATGTATATGCCTGGATTATGTTTTCTCCAGGCGAATCATTTGAATTTTGATAGAAAATTATTCAAATATTTTTTAAATTTTTAA